TCTGCTTTCTCAAGATTTGCTAGAAATTAGATTCATTGTGATTGTCATTTTATTGTATTAACATTATTTTATTGACAGCTGTTTTTGACAAAATCAAATATTTCTAAAGTTTTGTAAAAAAAATAAAAAAAATAATTTATTTATTACTTTAAATTGTATTCCATTATTTATTTCAACTTTTTTTTTTATATATAATTCACGGGGGGGTTGAATGGCTTTTCTCTTTGTAAAGTGTACTATACTACGCTATCGTCGGAACAAGGAACAGTGGGAACAGTTACCTTATTGCATTTTCATACTCTATAAATTGGTCTTAATATAAAATATCAACTGTATTTTACATACATTTCAAAATATACAAAAAAAGGCCAAAAAACATATTTGCAAAAATATGTTTATGTAAATATATTTTCTACCAATATATTTTTGGCCATTTTTGTATGTGCGTGTATATATATATATATACAGGTGCATCTCAATAAATTAGAATGTCATGGAAAAGTTCATTTATTTCATATATATATATATATATATATACTTTAAATATATAAATCTATTTTTTAAAAGGATTTAAAAATATATTTTGCCCTTTATTTAAATATTTCTATCCATGAAAATACGTTCACATTGTAAATCATTCTGAATCATTATAAATCTGGTTTATAAATAGGTTATTCCATCCACATTTGCATGTGAAAACAGTCAAGCTCTGTTTACAACATATGTTAAGTTATTTATTTAGCATTTATTGTTTTGGTCAGAAAATGCTTTTTAGCATGTTGACAGCACATTTTTCATCTTTCACATTAAATATTGTTTCAACACTATACTTTACAAAGTGTAGTGCCATTTATTAACCCCCAGTGAATTATAGAAACAAATAAATAATACAAATTCAAGTACATAAAAATGAATAAATTAGAAAGATTTAAATTTAGAATCATTTTTTGAAGATTTGAGTAAAATTTTTATTGGTTTTGAAACAATATAAATGTCAACTCTCTTATTAATTTTACACTTTTTTTTCTCATATTGGAAAAATGGTTCTTTATGCACAAAAGGTTACTTTTATGTTTGAGGAAAAGACAGCCTGATCTCATAAGAAAACAGTTTCAAAACATTTCCAAGGGGCCATTATATATATATATATATATATAGATTTATATTTTAGTTAGATTTTATGTCGGCTTATTTGCTGTTTCAGCTATTGTTCTGTTTCGTAATTGTTTTACTGATGTACTGTATATGTGTGTATATATATATATATATGACGGTAACATTTCTCATTTCCATTTAGTTTTAGATGTACTTATATAACTATAGCTAAAACTGAAATTGCAATTAATAAAAAATATATAGACATTAAAAAAAATAAAATGACAAAAACACAGAATCACAAAGGTTTCAAGGAAAATTACAGTGAAAACAAGAAATTTAAAAACAAAAACAATCAGAATGTTAATAAAAAATATAATGGTGTCTCAAATGAGACTACAATAACATTTTAAATAAATAACGCTCTCTCTCTCTGTATATATACATACATATTTAAGTCTGTACAGGTTTGCTGATCTTTACAGGAAAAGGTTGTTTTGCAATTTCAGTGTCGTGATCAAATTATTAGCAGATTGAAGGTCCAGATGAGGACACGTCTGCTAATTACACCGTTTGGCTTTTAGCCTCATGGATATAATTGACACTTTTTTGTGTCTCTGTGGTTGTCAACAGGGAAAAGGCCAAAGCAAACAAATCAGTCTCCAAGATTCTTGTGTTTTCCCTGCTTGTTCCAACTGTTGAAACCAAATAAACTGCAAACAGCTGTTTCTCACATCTCATTAATTATTTAAAAGCCTCCCAGTAACCGCTGTGCTAATCACCTGTAAATACGGTCCAGTGAACTCAACGGGTCTCTAATAAAAATCTAACACCTTGGAAAAGTCTTCACTGTGGTGATAATAGAGCTGTGCACACTTATATGAGGAGATTCTTAGGTTTGATTTCCAGCTATGAGTTTGCCACACATCTCTATACTTCGTGCCAGACAAGACCACCCCAGAAACCATGATTACAAATACTCCCTGAATAGAACAAATGGAAACTGCTAACACACATCTATTTGAGGTCCAGACCCCTAATATGAACTGCTGAAAGAAAGTTAGCATGGGGGCCCTGTATTAAGTCTTACAAGAATATATTTATTTTTTTAATGGTTTCGGATTCCAAAATATTAATTTATTTATTCATATGAAATGGTGAATGAATCATGTATTTATGTGAGCTGTGTAAATTATACTAGATATAAAAAGGAACAATGGTTTAACAGCTCCTCCTTGTGGCCACAACAAGAACTCACCACAACGTACATGTTCTATATGTGCGCAAGCTTCCACTACTCCAGGCTACATTATGAATATATTTTGATACTTACTAAAGACAGAGAGTCAACATGCAGACTTGTGAGTAATAAACAAGTGAGGACCAAGGGCATTTTTCATAAATAATAAACAATAAAATGGCTGCCCACTGCTCCGGGTGTGTGTTCACTGCTGTGTGTGTGCACTTAGGATGGGATAAATGCAGAGCACTAATTCCGAGTATGGGTCACCATACTTGGCCACATGTCAGGTCACTTTCACTTTCACTTTCAAAAGTCCATTTCATGTAGGCCAATGATTAAAAGAACATTCAAGCAAATTAGTTAAATAGCCTACAGCATGGCATTTCGTTGACCTCCAGTTCGCATGCTCACCAACAAGATTAAAGTAACTTAAAAATGATTTCGGCTATCATTTTTAAGTAACCAACTAGCTATGTTTGCATGCGAGTGATGGACAGAGGAAGAGAGCTTAACTATGAAGAAATTTTATGTATTATGTGGAGACGGATATTTGTTCGTTCTGGGCATATTGGGGGAATTTTTATATTTAGAAATCAATTTTATATATATGCCTTTAAAGTTTTGACTATAACAGCTGTCGAACATGCAGTGTATTGAACATGTTTCGGTAAGCTGTGAGAATGGAATTTAGACTATTAATGAGTTTTTAGGAAAACGGAATCAGTAAAACAATTACGAAACAGAACAATAGCTGAAACGGCAAATAGGCCGATGTAAAATCTAACTAATTAAAATATACCACTATTCTGGCCTATATAGCCTTACTGTGATTAGTTTCATCGATTAACTCTTAGGTTTATTCCGGTTAACCTGTTCTGCATTTTTGTGCTTCTGGCAGCTTAAATGTGTTATTATTGCGTAATTTCAATAAAATTTTAATTTTTTAAAATGCATCTCATATATTCATCCTGTGTGTCCTCTTAAGGTGTAAATTGTAATAAAATTTTTAAGTTTTGTTAACCTGACAACACATCACTTACGAAAATTAGCATGGTTTTACTAAATAATACTTTTTTTTTTTTTATCTTGTTTAAATTTTTCTGAAAATCAAATGAAGGCATTAAAAATTTATTTTAAATCAAATGAAAATGAAAGGAAGAAAAACTGTGAATATTCCTTTAAAAAAAAAATTTAATAGGCTAATAATTTTATTCTTTTTTTCTACAATTAAGTGATTCATCTGGTTGTAATATTTATTTTTATCATTTAATTGTTTTATTTAAATTTGATAGAAAATTGAATATTTAAAGATGTACATTATACTGTACAAAAGTAATACAAGAGTAATATATTTCTGTTACATGTTAAACCGTACTTTTATTTTGACCGGTTGCCATGAAGTTTCTGTGTGTGTACAGTATGATGATGCTAGTTTTCTCAAATGAAACGGTAAAATTCACAGCAGCTCTGGAGATTAAGTTCATGTGTTCACGCCGTCATATAGTGAGACGCAGAGGCCTACAGCTCAAGCATCACGCTGCTTCAGTATTTGTGTAGTAAACAAAACCGCGTTTCCGCCATTCATACATACAGAGGCAAGCGGAACATGCAGGATTCATATTTAAACCATCTTTTTGCATTTTAATATTCACAGACACTAGTTCATATCGCGATTCGAATTAAGTGGCAGTGGCTACTTTTGACTTATTTGTCCAAAATTGACGAATTCCGTGGCATTCCACGCTATAGAGTAGGCTAAATTAGGTTTTTATGAATGGACTCCGGGATCCCGTTCGCGTTTTCGCAGAAACCATATGGCCCTAGAAATGTAACCACACTTCAGAACATTTCGGCTTGCCCTGTGTGTTGTTTGAACAAGTTGCAGGGGTGACATCACGTCACAGGGTCTCTCTTTCTCTCTCTGTAGCTTATACGCCTAGATGCGAAATTCGGTAGTACCGACGCAATTCGGTCGGTACCCTTAAAAGTACCGAGTTCGGTATCGGTACCCAACCCTAGTGTAGAGTAGCGCTTTTTGTTTTTCATTTCTCTGATCACAAATGCAGACATGGTTTTATGTTTACGCGGCGCGATGCAACGCAAGGCGAGTGTAGCGCTTGTTGTTTGTCATTTCTCCGATCACAAATGCAGACATGGTTTTATGTTTACGCGGCGCGATGCAACGCAAGGCGTAAAAAGACTGTATAAGTCATTATAATCAGTAATTGTCCGCACTGGATGCAACAAATGCCTCGTTTATAATGGGTTTTAATGTTTTTGTCTCGTCGGACAGGGCATCACAGTATGGTAAGGGGCGTAACATTTCCGTCACACCCTTGAGGTATTCAGCCAATCACAACGCACCTCGCTTTTCAGACTGATGAGCTTTGTAAAAAAGTTTCAGAAAGGCGGGGCATAGAGGAGAAACAATAATGTACAGTATGTGGAAAATAATGTGTTTTTTTAACCTTAAACCGCATAAACACATTTCATTACACCAAATACACAAAATAATGTTCTTTTTAGCAACATCATATGACCCCTTTAACTTCTCAGGTAATAATCAATGGTATGACCTAATTCAGATGCGGCCAAAATTACAACAACAGTGCAGAAAAACAGCGACTTCAGAAAACTCAAACACAAAGAGTACACCCAGAGATTTTTAATCGTAATACATTTATTTGAGCAATATACAATATAAACACATCAAGCACTAGGGGACATATCAGGTCACAGTTTTGGGGGTCCTGTTAGTCTCCAGCCTTCCATTTTTCCAACCTTGGTGAACATAGCCAAAGTTCCCAGACCAAAACACGCTGTGGTACCCGTGATAGCACTGTGTGCTAAACGTAAAAAAACAACACCAGCAAACTTCTTTAAACTCTTCTTTAACAACAACAAATAAAGACACCAGTGACCTTGAATATTTATGAAAAACATTAATATTGTACTTACTTCGTGCCCCGAGGAAAATACCTGAAGCACATCCACCGATGAAATAGTTGGTTGGGTCGTCAGGTGCTTCTCTGGCCTGTGCGCTAAGACAAGTGGCCATTCCAAAGATGGCGCCCATGGCGGCTAAAAGGGTTGCAAACAGGAAGTAAATTATTTAAGCAAGTGTGTGTGTTGCCATCTGATATAACGGATTTAAACTAAAATCATTCCATTAATGTATCGACTGTTTTGATGTAACAAGTAAACAAGGCCAACACAAGCTACTGTAAAGATAGTACTTTTAACTTTTATTCAACTTTGTATGAAGTGCCGACAGAGCAAAAAATGATGGAAGATGAAGGTGAATCACAAAGACAGAGGCTGCATCCAAAATGGCACACTTCCCTACTATATAGTAAGAGAAAACAACCTTCAGTAAAAATACTAGCATATCCAAATTCACAGAATTCCTAAAATAGTACACAAAAAGTCCCCAGAATTCTGAGGTCACGAGAGAGGATTTGTGGTTGACAGTGATCTGACACAACTGACACTGGTAGGTAGGCCTGTCGCAATAATCAATATATCGACTTATCGCGCAATATATGTACATGACCTCAATAATGTTTGGTGACGCAATATCGCCTATTATATTTACTTAATGTCACCATGTTTTTTACATTCCACTTGCGCCTGTGTCTTTTGCAGCTTCTCGTACATAACGTGGTGTAGTTGGTGCTAGTTCAAATTTAAAAAATGCTTCTACAAAAAAAAAAAAAAAAGTTTTATCTGCAGATATGGCCTTGTTTAGGGATCGGTGTCTTTGTGCATACGGACATCTGACTGCTAAGTAGTGATTGTGTTTTTCAGCAATAGTGTGCACCATTAATTTACAGAGAAAAGAAGGTCAGGGAAAAATCTGTAGATGGAAAAATCTATACAAGTTTTTTTTTACATTTTTCTTTTTTTGTACTTGTTACTTTGCATTACTATTTAATCAAGTTTTTTAAGGTATGTAATATTTTGATACTTAATTTCCATGATCTAAATATTCTTAAAAATTAAAAGTTTGTTGTCATTTGGAAGTGTGTGGGCCTTCTTGCATTATTATGCTGTTACATTATGATTATATATTCAGTGGCATAAAATGGTCTTCAAAATGACAATAATATAGCAATTATTTCTGCGGCAATATATCGCACAACAAAAAAAATGTCATCGTGACAGGCCTACTGGTAGGTCACATGACAATGACAACAAGGCGAATGTAGTATGTCCGTATTACATTCATTGTACATACATTATGTAATGTTCATTTTAATGGTTACTAAGAACTTATTCAAAAGTAGTAGCTACTCAGAGAGCATGCAATTTCAGATGCAGCAAGTCTTTCACCAACACAAATTACCTTGATTTCACACACACACTGTATGGGAAACTCAATGGTACACTTTTATGCATTATATTTTTTTCATCATAAAATTTTCACAACATTTAAGTACACTTTCCCATTCATTCTCACTCATTTCTTAGAGAGAGAGAGAGAAAGAGATAGTGTTTATATTTCTACAGATATCCCCTACCATGAACGGGACCACAGCTTATTTGTCTTACCCATGGTGACAGTGCCTGATGTTGCTCTGGTCAAAGCCTCAACAGCTGTTTCAGGTGGAAATGCCACAATGTGGTAGGCAGAACCTACCAGCCCTGCAGAACAACAACAGTAGTAGTAAAGCACATGAAGCTTTGTTTAATAAAGCAGGCCATTCCTGGTGACATCTGCATCATTATGGGAGTCACTCAAACATAGGTATGAAACAAATCAACGGTTGGAAAGTGATAGCAGCCCTGGACGTCATTTTACAATCACAAAAAAAAAAATTATACGCTGACGCCACTTTATAGTTAGATAAACCAACTAAGTAGAAAAATATGAATATAACACGATTATAAGAATAGCGCGCTGATGTGTTATTCACTATTTCACTAGCTAGTGTATATGCTAACAGCTTAGCCTTTAGAGCGCATAAACAATGCACATGTTAAAAACCACGCTCAAAGGATCCGTTAGAAACCCTAGAATCCAGACATACAGCAGACTAACCGATGGCAGTGGCTATTTTTGTGGTGATCCATGTTTTGGCAACGCAGTCTTTGCCCTCTTCCAGATCCCAGTAGCCCATTTCTGCATCAAGGACACGACTGGAATATCGCGAGAGTTCTTCTTGAGTTTATTGGCGGTTGGTCCACAACGAACTGTGCGTTACCGCCACCAACTGCTATGGAGTGTGTGAACCACATTTCCTTCTCCCTTTAAAAAAAACTATATCCTCTAACTCAATTTAGTTACTCTAAGATAATGCAGTGATAGGCCATAAAATTTATCCTTTGAGCTAAAGCTTCTTCTTGACCTCATTCTTCTAATGATGTTGTGGATCTAGTCGCGTTCACGTTCTTTTCGCCCCCCGTCGGCGTGGTGTGGAACTGCAACGCCATACACGATCCAAGGTTATTAAAGTGAACTATAATTAAACCATAAAAAGTTACTTGAAACACAACAGAAATACTAAAACTTTAATTGAAATCAACATGAATGCAGAAAATATAAAAATAAAATCTAGCTCAAACATGAACAAAAACTATAATAGTATTAGTATCTCAGTGATACCAAAATAACTATCGTAGCAAGTTTTTTTTTAAAATAATATAATAAATAAAAAGAAAACAGATAGAATAGAAAAAGAATAGAGCAAGCTAGTGTTAGAGGTCTTTTTTTTGCTTTTGTTAATTGTATAATTAATGAAAAGAAAATATGTAGTTATGCATAACTACAGGTATTAGCTAAGCACAAACAAGTTCCAATTGCTGGTTTTATTTTGCCATCAGCTGTAACAACTTATATGAAAAAGAGAGAAAAAAGAAAGAAAAGAAAAGGGAGTTTTCTGAAAGGTACACTACAAAAAAAGATAAAAGAACCTAAAATATACACTAGCCTATAGCTTACATAAATATAGCCTAGTTTTTTTTAATCCCAAATCCTTGATTTGATGTAAAATGAACGATATTCTATTGGCAACACATTCAATCTTAAAAGTACAAGTAAATAAATAAATAGCCTACATACATACATACACTTCCCTGTATGAACCCGGATTTCCCTGAATTAGGTGACTATGTAATTTATGTAAACTTGTCTTTAAATAACTTAATTTGACCATTTTTGATATTATTTTTAATTACTGGTACAATCTAACTTTTTTTTTATTTATTTATTTTTTTTTACAAAAATGTAGGCTAAATGAAACGGGTATATTATAAAACGTATATTATAAAAACAGAGTTATCAGCACATTAAAATTATTATAAGTAATAATAAAAAGGGCCCAAAAATCAAAAGATATGTACCCAATTTGTTTGGAGCCTCGCAAGGAAAGTGCATTTTGTAATCACTGCTGTCTCTCTGTTTCGGCGACTCTGATTGGCCAGCGGCTCCAAATATAATTTCCGGGTCAGCAGCTACAGGTTGCTATGAAGTTGGTGCAGATGACACGTCAGCTGACTGGAAAACAACACAAACTGCAACACCTGCTTAAATAGGATAATGTCACAAACCTCCGCGCAGCATGTAAACGCGCACTGACGACTGTCGCTGCATTACAGACGCGAAGATTTCCCGAAGACTGGAGTCGCGCGCCACTGCTGTAGCATCACGCCTGCTGAGATTGAGAGAGAGAGTTCAGCATCATTCAGTCCGGACCCGCGGAAGATGATCAGCCCAGCGGTGCGGCGTTGTCGTGGGTGAGCGAGAGCTTACCGGACCGGTGCTTCCGTCTTCCGCATCCCGAGCATGTCGTCCCCGTCGCCGGTGCAGATCAGAGAGGCGAACGCGCACCTCGCGGCGCTGCACAGGCGGGTCACAGACCTGGAGCAGAGGCTGGAGGACGCGGAGAAAACCGTGCGGGAGCAGGCGGAGAGCCTCATCCGCAAAGATGAGCAACTGAGAGCTACCACGCAAGAAATCACGGAGGCCAAGGACAAGTAGGGGAAAGAATATATTTACTTCCTTAAAGGGATAATTCTGTCATTAATTACTCACCGTCATGTCGTTCCAAATCTGTAAGACCTTCGTCCATCTTCGGAACACAATAAATTAAGATATTTTCTGATGAAATCCGAGAGCTCCCTGACCCTTAATGACAGAAAAATGACTGAATTTTCATTTTTGTGTAAACTAACCCTTTAACACAATCGTATCTTGCTGTAGATGCCTAATATTGCATTATTTGATGTCAAAACCATGTATATGCTAAATCAGAAAGCTCAATTAAGCTACTGTAAGCGACTTTTACAGTAAAAATATCCCTGAAATAAAACAACAGATATTATTGGATATGATGGTCTAAGAAAACACCTGGCAGCTCTTGACCGTTTAAAAAACAAAATAGACAGCGGCTCACGCTTGTTAACCAATCAGAAAAAGAACTGGTAATGCTGTGAGGGACGGGGCTACTTGTTTGTGTGATAAATGCTGGATGGACAGAGGACGGGTTACTGTTTCCAAACAAGTTTCCTCAATCACTCTGCTGTGTCCAAACAACTGATAAAAGCATCACAATAATCCACACCACTCCAGCCCACCAATTAACATCTTGTGAAGTGAAAAGCTGCGTGTTTGTAAGAAACAAATCCATAATTAAAACGTTTTTAACTTTAAACTTTCGCTTCAGGCTAAAATAGGAGGCCGTGATAACACTTCCTCTAGTGGAAGAAGTCAGTCCCTGTTGTCCTCTCACATCAAAACCAACCAATATATTTGTTCAGAACTCTTTTTGCTTGTAAAAGTTGCTTGACCTGTGCATATTTCTCTCCTGATTCAGATGAGATGACTTTTTAACTGGAGGATACGTTTTTATGGATTGTGGTCTCAACAGCAGCAGTTCAAAGTTAAAAACATCTTGATGGATTTGTTGATGTATTTATCAGAATTACTTTAGCGTGTTCACTATAGTCATGCCTCAATCATGAATTTTAAAAAGCCATTGTTTTTATGAATTTTCAAGTTTACTTGACAGACATATCAAACAACCACTATATTCCTAATATAGCAACTGTTTTCAAAAATACATCAGCTTCAAGTTCATATTTGATGTCACTGTAGGCCTATCGATAGATAATTTTGCAGAACAAAACATGAAAATGTATTCAAGTAATAAACAGAGACTTCAAAGGGACAGTTCAACTAAAAATGAAATTTTTGCCATTATTTACTCTCCCTCAAGTTATTCCAAATCTGCATGAATTTCTTTTTCCATACTATGAACGCCAATGGGGACCAATAACTGTTTGGTTACCCACATTCTTTAAAATATCTTCTTTTGTGTTCAACAGCTCAAAGAAACTGATACAGTTTTGGAACAACTTGAGGGTGAGTAATTAAAGACAGAATTTTCATTTTTAAGTGAACTGTCCCTTTTAACAAATCGCCAACTGCTACTCTTAAAAAAAAATATATATATTAGCAATTTCCTGAGGGTGAATTAGCGGTCTAGATTGGCCTTCAAATTGATGTTATGACTGAACAGCTCTATTCCGATTGGTGCAACTAATGGTGCATTAACTGCAGCTTTAATTAAAAAGGTAATTTTTATCTTTATTTTTCATGTAGAGAGATTTTCTTCCTCCATGAGAAGCTCTGTCAATCAGAGGAATCCATCCATAAACTCAACCAAACGATTAAGGAAAAAGATTCTCTAATCGGACAGTTACAACACCGATGTCAGCTGCTGGACAACATTTGCAAAAGCCGTCCATTATTGGACAGCATGCTGGCCCAGATGGCCGAGGCAGAGAGGATGGGGCCTGTCAGTGACTTGGGGAAGCCCACGACCAACAGCTCTCTCATGGACGGAGAATCCAACTGCAGCCCCAGCCGCCTCTCCAACCACAAAGACTTCTCCCTCAGCGAGGACGACTCTGACGATCAGGAATTAGATGGGGTTGTGTTTGGGACCACAGTATGAGTCTCAATTCAACTGCTCCTCCTCTCAGGTTTAGCAGCCTGTGTGTTTTGATGGTTACGGTTGATTCAGTGTCTGGTAAAACATCTGTCGTATCATAAAACAGGTTACTGGAGTTTGAATGGGATGCTAATGTAAAGAGCGAATGCCTGGTCAATTCTGGCTAAATCTGTTCGCAAATTGGTGCAAGCATGCCACATATCTTTTAGATTTGTCCCTCAGACTACTTCAGTTCTCATTACTGAATTAAACATTTAAAAAAATATATTTAGGTTCAGTTTAAAATAGACTAACTAGTCGTTTAATTGATCTTTATTCTTCCCTTTTTAACTTTTAAATTTGCAGATGCTTTGATATCTCTCTGTTTATACCTTATGGATTTATTGCGTTACATGAATATTAGAGAAGAACGTTTTTAAAATTTGCATCGAAATGAACTGTTACATGCAGTCCACCTGCAGTTTCATTTGTTTTTAAAAGAGCATCTGGGAAAATGTTTTAGAGATGTAATATACTGTGACATTGCATGCTTACTGTTTTGTTGGAGCCTCTCAGTGAGCAATTTCAGCAGTCATTGACAATGTACAAATGATGGATTCTTGTTCGGAGAGCCGCAGGAGTTGGATTTAGATGATTTAGACCCGGTGTTACCCATTGTATGCCATGCACTGGTCACAAACAGACAGGTTTATATCATAAATTTGACCGCTGGTCTCAAACTCCCATATTAAAATGCAACCCAATACTTTGCATACCTATGCTGGAAAGTTTAAAGGAATAGCTCACCCAAACATTTCAATTTTGTCATTTGCTCAACTTCATGTCCTGTCCTGACAGGTTCTAAACCTGTGTTACTTTCTTCTGCAGAACACAGCATTTAATTTCAACAAAGTTAGAGTCCAGTGGATGAAGGAAAAAAAAACCCTCTGTTGTTCCACAGAGGAGGGAAAGTCATTGGACTATAATGTGAATTTAAATTGTTACATTTTTCAGTGCCTAAAAAATTCACGGTTGCTTGTTTGATCTCATGATTTATTCTGAAAGATTGTAATAAATTATTTTTCAGTGCTAAATATCTAAAGCGTGTACTTTCCTCAGAAACACAAATATACAGCTAATCATGCAAACCCTAACATTAAATATTTTCGTCTCTAATAATTTAATAATATTTTTTTCTAATAATTTAATAATATTTTCGTTTATTTTAAAATAGGTTAAATATGTCTATTGAGTTTTGGTTTGGGTGAACTATTCCTTGAACTGTGCATTTTTTTATTCCTTACATGTACGAGTTCTTTTGGACACATTTTTATAAAAGAAATAAAAATAAAATAACTTTACAGTAAGGCTTGTTAATGCATTAGGTATCATAAATGAAAAACTTTTTTTTACAGAATTTGATGTTTATAAATATTCTGTTGTTTGTTAATTGATACAATTTGAAATGTTAAATGTATATTAGTACACAATAGAACATTCCTGAAAAACTGTGAAAACTCCGCTGACGTTTAAAAATTTGTGCTGGAAACTCACAAGTATCAGAAGTAAATCATGGGAGTAATACACAAACCAGTTTTTGAGAGACCCTACCACCATTGTGCAGTTGAGCTTCAGCGCTGAAGCTCCAGGCTGCTGTTAGTGACAGTGTGACACCAAACTGTAATTTAAGGTGCATGTATATAATTAAATGATCTATGCAGTGAAGTTGTTCTCTGAGAGCCTCCCTTAATAAAACAGTTAGTTCTTAAAATAGAGCTTCACCAGATAAACCGAGCAAATCCAAGCCAGCTAAAGCTGTTGCTTATGCATTTACAGGCGCATGGTTGAGAAATCGTAAAGTGTTAAAACACTTGTTTTTGTTGAATATCTTATATAGCTGTTTCTTGGGTTGAATGAATCATGTTACATATTTACATGTCAACATAAAACAGCTGTCCGATTTGCTGTTATTTCAGTTCTAATGTGATGCCAATACATATAGATATGGTATAGGCCTTTCTCCAAATTAATTTTGTTAATTCGGCCTAGCAAAATCAAGTCTATGCAAGCCTGTCATATTTTGCCATATTGCCAGATGGAGGGGAGCCATAATGTAGTGAGTGAGTGTACTGATGATGGGGCATTATTCATGTACAGCGTGTCATGTGTCCTGCTAAGATGTGATGGTTACACAATATTTTCGTGTTCGTTTTAAGAGTTACATGTGGTTTTGAACTGCAGCATGTTACATATTGGGGCATGCCATATTTGTCTTGCTAGTGCCCTGTACAGAAGTGTGTTTGCTAACATTTTTCTCTACAGATAAAGTAAAGCAGTGCCTAAAAGACTGATGGTTACTTGTTCAATTGAATTATTTATTCTGAAAAATTCTAATAAACTATTTTGTTATTCTTCAGTGCTAAATGTGTACTAGTGCGTCCTTTTTCCTGATGCTTTGTGCGAATTATGAGATTAAATTCCCTGCGAAAGGTTTGCTCTATGAACGCAATAAACATAAAAAAAAACGGTTACAATGAGGTAACTTTATTCACCCAATGAACATTAAAAGGAAACTTAATGGTGTAAAAACATTACATTACTACAACAGACCATGAATAACTCCTAAAGCCTGATTATTTCAGTGTTACAGACATGTTAACCTATGTGACCCTGGACCACAAAACCAGTCATAAGGGTCCATTTTTTGAAATTGAGATTTATACATCATCTGAAAGCTGAATAAGTAAGCTTTCCATTGATGTATGGTTTGTTAGGACAGTATTTGGCTGAGATACAACTATTTGAAAATCTGGAATCTGAGGGTGCAAAAAAATCTAAATATTGAGAAAATCGCCTTTCAAAGTTGTCCAAATGAAGTTCTTAGCAATGCATATTACTAATCAAAAATTAAGTTTTTATATATTTACGGTAGGAAATTTACAAAATATCTTCATGGAACATGATCTTTACTTAAAATCCTAATGATTTTTGGCAAAAAAGAAAAATCGATAATTTTGACCCATACAATGTATTGTTGGCTATTGCTACAAATATACCCCAGCGACTTAAGACTGGTTTTGTGCTCCAGGGTCACATGTTGCCTTAATCAAATGGAACATTAAATGGTAATATTTCAATGTGATTTCCATCATTCTGACAGATGCTTTAAAAACATCCCAGTAAACGCTGCTAATACAGGTATTAGAAAAGTACATTTGTAGCTCATTCAAGCAAACTGATGGATAAGGATTATTTGTAGCACAACTTTATGATTTTAAATGGTTTGTGTTTTTGAGAAGAAATTCCCTAAACCAGAGGTACCTCCTATAATCTAAAACGCAGTAGGCTTGCTACAAAAAAGGTGGAGATGCAGGACATAATTCAAATCCTAATATTAAATAATATTGCATTCACTAAAATTGGAGTACAAATTCATCTTTATTTCAATATTTAATTAGACACTTTTTTTTTTTTTAACATTATTTCCATGTTCACTAATAGGACAAATAATCATGCAACAGTAATCATGTTGCATTAAAAGTGCTTCCGTTGCACTGCACTCATACAGACTCAGTGGGGAAAAGGACCTTATAATGCATCTTTAATGGAGTCAGTGTGGTAGCAGCACCTTCCCTCTACCAATGCAATTATGAAACCCTTTGGTCCCATCAGGGCCGACAGGCTGGCGAACAACCAGGACACTTAAAGACTTCATTATCTGATTGGGTGACACCGAGTCGCCCATCTCAGGCTGAATGACCTGGGCAGCATGTTTACGTCTCTGGACCCAAGGGCTGCTTGTGAAGCCCAAGTCGTCTGGGGAGAGCTCACACGAGCCCTTGTACCTGCTGGAGGAGGATGTACCAGCTACAATGGGCGAGCTGCTGAAAGGATGTGTGGCCAGAGGAGAGGTCACATGACTGCAAGGAAAAAGCTTACGAGGCAGGAGAGGGCTTCCTACAGGACTGCCAAGGGGATTCCTGTAAGGGTCAGAGCGGAAAGTCGATATCCGTGGGATGGCGAGGGGGCTGCCGTAGAGGGCCTGAGGACGGGTGACTCTGCGGTTGGGCCGGGGCGAAGCAGGGGCAAAATCGGACTCTGAAGAGCTGCAAACAGCAGAATCCTCCAGAGAATAAAAGCGCCTGGACTTTCTGTTTGGCCTTTTTAAACTCTCATTGGCAATACCTTCTTCAGACTCTTCCTCCGCTAGACCTTGGCTCCATCCTGGCTTACGAGTTCCACGGCTTCCCAGCAGGACCACACAAACACCCCTTCCTCCCTGCTGCTGCTCTTCCGCCTTCAGGGCTTCGTAGGCCTTGCGCGCGCCTTCCAGATACTCATACTCCACCACAGCACACACTTTGCGCCCCAGTTCCAGGTGTCTCTTAGTATAGCACTTCAACTCTGTAGGGATCTCTTTTCCAGGCCGCAGAATGCGGAGAGATGAGATGGTTCCGTAGGGGGAAAACACCCGCATTGCGGCTTCCATGATGCCTAGCTGCTCCACACCCGGTGACCCGTTTTCCTCGTCTTTTACACCGTCTAGGAAGTTCCAGGCCAGAAGTAGCTTGCTTGTGGGGATGCACAGGAGCCAGTCAGGTACCGGAGTCCTTCGTCGCACCTTGGTTCCCATCTCATTCACTTCCAGCTGCGGAGACGTTCTTGCAGCCGCCAGTGTGGTGCGCCAGTCACGCGTGAGATCTTTAATCTATGAGAACACGAATCAAAACACAGGTTTTAGGTTACATCTTATGTTGTTAAATTAACATTTATTGTATTATTTTAGTGTTGGGTTACATTGATAGTGTCTTGTATTTGTTAGACACTCTGCACCTTCTATATAGTATCTACCATCCTCAGCCTGTGGAAAAGCTACTTGTAATGAGTTTTGATTCATCATGTGAATTTCTCATTACCACCTATATTTTTAGGTGGTTGTCTGCCAATTATAAAAGGTACAAAACAGATTTAGTAATTCAGAGGGTTGGTCTTAAACTAAATTTAAACTCAACCCGTAAAACCTAAAATGTAAAATTCAGACAACCACAGTTTTTTTTTTTTTTTTTTAAACAGTTTTACAGTTTGTTTCGTGATGACACTTCAAATCAGATTGAGAGGTTGTTGATTACTTGATCTCACCTTCTTGAAAGATGTCAGCAGCTTCAAACTAACATAACCCATCTTGTTTCTTTGCACATGTTTTAGCAGAAAAGCATCATCTGCCAGATTCTCATCAGAAAGGTAGTTCTCCAGCTGGGCAGCAATGTTTTGCGTCAAATCATCATTTGGAGGAATCCAGAGATCACCCTCACACAAATCCTCCTCAAAAACATCAGTCAAATCAGTTGAACTCCTGAAAAACAGATTGTTTTTTTATAATATAAAATTAGCCCACTGCCCGTTTAAAAAGCTTCCCGAGTGGATTTTTACATTAAAATTTAGAAACTCTTAAAGTTATTTTGATATTTCATATATTTTCAGAAATATTATAAACTTATCCATTAACCTACCCATCCAAACTGTCATTTAGCCCATCATCAGTGAATGAGAACGGCCCCTTTGATTGCTGAGTGTCTTCACAGTGGAAGATGTCAGTAAAACCAGGTGAGGACATGCTGTTGACAAATTATTTTGATCTTACTGACAAAACTAAACGTCGAAAATATGTGCTAATTAGTTGTTGAACTGTGTTGTAAACAGCCTACCTGGCGTCTCTCCTATATGTTTCCCCGTAAACCGCCACACATCACCTGAACACAGGTGATCCTTCTCAGAATACTGATTTATACGTCCTTACGTCACCATTAAAAACGCGGCATACTGGGCGACGTCATGCTTGCTCTGAAACAAACGAGGGTAAATTATAAATTCATAAGGACATTTTTTTTTTTTTTAAATCTTTCAGATTTTTAAAAAGACATTTTCGATTTTAT